TATATATATATATACACGCACACACGTTATGGTCCCTGAAGAGGAGCCTTGACGTAACTGGTAAAGTTGCCGCCCTTGTGGTCTGACCTTTCCCGGCAACTGATAAAGTTGCTGTCTGTGACTAGGGGGTTTCGGGTTCGCGCCGCGAAAACAGCCTTTTGCAGAAATGCAGGGTAAGGCTGCGTACAGTAGACCTTGTGGTCTGATCCTTCCCAGCAACCGGTAAAGTTGTTATCATGAAGTGACGTGTTCGAGCCGTGGAAATAACCTATTTGCATACAATAGACTCTTGTGGTCTCATCCTTTCCAGCAACTGGTAAGGTTATTGTCATGTGTTCAGGAAGTCACGTGTTCGAGCCGTAAAAATAGTCTATTGCAGAGATGTAGGGTAAGACTGCTTACAATAGACCCTCGTGATCCAGTCTTTCTTCGAACCCCGCGCATAGCGAGACCTTAGGGCACCGGACTAGCCTTTTAACTGCATTATGGTCCCTCAAATTGTTAAAAAGAAATTACTTTAATCCTTGTTGTATCTAGTATGCATATTAAATCCTCTATTATTAGATTTTTATATTATTGGTCATTTACTACTGATTATACTTAGTAGCCATTTACTACAACTTTCCCTAATTTACTTTAGGATTTTGCCTAATATCGAATCTGTCGGTATCTTATAATAATCTTAAAGCAAAAAGAAGCTTCGCCTATAATATTTTAATTTCCCTTTCTCTTCTTCCCAAATTGTGGACAAACAAAAACAATAAAATCAATTACTCTCATTATTTCATTTTATGTTATATCAATATTACCTCGTAATAATGACATATTTTTATATTCTTAAAAAAAAATTACTTTAAATATTTTATTATATTATTAATAATATATTTTTATATTCATACAAATTTTATAGTAATATATTTTGATATTACAAGTTTTTAATATTTGTTTTCTAAAAAATTATGCGCCCAGTCAAATAATATCACAGAAAAAGTGGAAAGCAATGTATATTATTTTGCTAAAGTAAATAAAAAAGATATTATATAAAATTTTCACAATGTGGTGGACTTCTGTTACATGCAAGATATAGAGAGAGAAACAGAGAATATAGAGAGAGAGACAACCACTGTGTGTGTGAATTTGCCAAGAATACCATTATACTTACATCAGATCTGCTGTATTCTCTCCTCTCAATACATTCTTGATTCTTTTCATCACAATTCAATCTCAAAAAACTCTGAACCACTGTGTGTGTGTGTGTAAATTGCTCTGTTTTAGCTCATTTCTATTGACATTCATCCACTGTGTCAACTCAGTGCCACGCGTCACTTTCTCACTCTTTTAGCTCAATTCTTATGCTCTACAGTGAAAAACACGAATTGGGTATTCTTTATTTTATTGAAATTGGTGTTTTTCAGCTTCATGGTAGTTTTCCGGCAGTGTCCGCCGGAGCTCCGGTGAGCTCCGGCGAAAACTGTGAAAAGGGTGTGTTATAAATGAGATAAAGTGTGGGGTAAAAGTGTAAAAATGTTCAAGTCAGCGCGGTGGAGGAGTGAGAAGAACAAGATCAAAGTTGTGTTCAAGTTGCAGTTTCATGCAACTCAGGTAAGAATTTTACTGCATGGTAAATATTTCAGTCAAAGATTGAATTTTTACTGTTCTGGGTAGCTTTTTCGTTGAAATTTTCTTTCAAAAGATTGAATTTTTACTGTTTTTTTATTGCTTTTTGATAGTTGATAGCAATCTGAATTGGATGATTTGATTGATTAGGCAGTAGAAAGAATAAATGGATGACACAATTAGTGTTTCCACTGAACTTATTGTCTTCGCCTTTTCTGAGCTGAGAGTCCATTTGAAACATTATTTATGTTCACTAGTAGGGGTAAGGTTTACGGACATACTACCCTCCCCACACCTCACCCGTGTAAATACTAGATTTGTTGTTGTTGTTGTACTGAACTTATTGTCTTATAACATAAATTTGCATTGGAAGACAAATTATTTAGTATTAGAATGAAATGGTGTAGAATAAATTGGAACGGACATAGAGGATTCATATAGTCGACCCAACTAATTTGGAACTGACACTTAGTTGATGAATTGATTGATTGATCCCTTTGCATTTTCCTTTGATTTGTTTCACTTCAAATCAGACACTTTTTTCGAGGCAACTGATAAAAAGCTTGTTGTATATGAGAAGAGCATTGTCTACTAACCCAAAAGTCAGCAATCATTGTAAACAGTCCGAGGCTTCCTGGAAGAGGGCGTTCTTTTGAATTGCATTTCTTCATGTCTTGGTTCACGGTCATTTTGAATAAGTATAGTTGATCGAGAAAGTACCACCCAAAGGTGCTCATTGAGCCGGTCTCCGGTGGCTAAAATCATCTCAAAGCTGAAGTGAAGTGATGCGCCGCAAGCCTTCTTCTATTTTTCGTTCTTCTTTCTTTTCTTATCAAGTTTCTAACCGGAAGGGTCAAGGGCGGAGTCAGGATTTGAAGCTAATGAGTTCTGGGTTGTAATCTTTTTAAGTTATCGAGTTCTAAATTAGTGATTTGTACATTTTTAATGAATTTCTTTAGACAAATATAGAATTTGGACTAAAGTTACTGGGTTGGGCTGGACCTGTAACCGGCATGCTAGCTCCGCCCTGAGAAGGGTGGCTGGAAGATTGACATTCAGTCAAAGCATAATGTCTTAATTTGGTTATGTGTCACAGGTAGCAGGCGATGCATTGATGATATCTGTAGTCCCTGCTGATGTGGGGAAGCCGACATTAAAACTAGAGAAGGCGATAGTTCGTGATGGGAGCTGTTACTGGGATAAAGCAGTTTTTGAAACTGTGAAGTTGATTCAAGAACCGAAGTCGGGGAAGATTCACGAAAAGATCTATTACTTCATCTTGGGAACCGTAAGTTTGCATTTCAAGTCTGAAGTTTTTATGATATATTGGTTCCTTATCAAAAGTGAATTATATAATTTGTTTGGATGTATACTTTGTAGGGGAGTTCAAAAGCTGGAGTTGTCGGAGAAGCTTCAATTGATTTCTCGAATCATGCAGAGGCATCTAAGATATCCTCCGTTGCTCTTCCGCTCAAAAATTCAAAATCAGGAGCTGTATTGCATGTAAGTCTCTCAGTCGTTCATGCAAGAATACGCATAGAATCGCTATTTTGCAAGCTTTTCGGACCTAATTGGACTTTAATTTGTGTCATTGTCGATAGGTTTCAATACAGAGGATTCAGGATTCTTCTGATCAAAGGTGGTGTCCCATTTCCCAATAGCTTTCGTGTTTTTCTTCTGAGCTTTTGGTTCTCGCATGCTAGTTGAAATGTTAAATCTTGTGCTGAATTTAAACTAATTTTTATCTTTTCGGTGCTTTTACAGTGTTGTTGAAGAATTCGAAAATGCAAAACCAAATTCGGACGATAGGATCTTGAGGACGCAACCAAGCAACGATGAAGTAGAAGCTAGCCTTAATGACAATTCTACAGAGGTGAGACAAAGACTTCTGTCTGATTGTAATAAAATGAAGATCCGAGGATTGCTCCTCGGGTATTGGATGCTGGCTATTATTCTTCCATTTTGATTGATAAGATCGCTTCATTTCTTGTCTGCGCATGTGTTTCATAGGATGGTTTAATCAACAAGCCTATTTTGCACAATGGTGTACTGAATGGCAACCGCCGGGCATCAGGTGAATCGGATATTACCATGTCCAGTTCTGGTAGCAGCTCGGGACTTGATACGCCTCGGCAAATCAAAACGAGAAACAACATTAGCCATCAGGATCACATAAACTTCCCTTCGTCTCCGAATCTTGCTTTGGTTCCCCGGAACCCCAGTGTCGATGTCTGTACAACAGTTTACGAAGAAAATCAGCAATTGGATTGGTTGGCGGGTTCTGCTCTTGAAGTAAGTACAGATGGTTCTTCAAGCACTCCAAGAGAAGCTCTTCAGAGATTAGAATCACAAGAGGTGTTGGATGTTGTTATCGCAAAGCTAAAATCCGAGCTCACAGCTTTTGCTAGGCAGGTAGAAGTGTCAGACTTGGAACTTCAAACTCTTCGTAAACAAATTGTCAAGGAGTGCAAAAGAGGGCAAGATCTCTCAAAAGAGGTTGCGAGCCTGAAAAAAGAACGAGACGCTCTCAAGGAAGAATGCGATAAACTTAAAGCCTCTCAAAGGCGTTTAGACGAGGCGAAATCCAAAGACAAGTTGCTATATGAAAGTGGGGATCTTCAAACTCTTGTTAGTGAACTTAGGCAAGAATTGAGTTATCAAAAGGACCTTAATGCAAATCTAGAAATACAACTTCAAAAGACGCAAGAATCGAATTCGGAGTTAATTCTTGCTGTGCGTGACCTAGATGAAATGTTAGAGCAGAAAAACAAAGAAAATGTTAGCCATTCCAACAAATCAACGACATCTTTTGACGCTGAAAGGTTTCCGGACGTTATCTCGAAGCATGAAATGACGGATGAAGATGACGAAGAGCAAAAAGCGCTAGAGCAGCTCGTGAGAGAGCACAGCGACGTCAAGGACACATATATGCTGGAGCAAAAGATCACGGACCTGCATGGTGAAATCGAGATATACAGGAGAGAAAGAGATGACTTAGAGATGCAGATGGAGCAACTTGCCCTCGACAATGAGATACTGAAGCAAGAAAACCATGACATGTTATACAAAATTGAGCAAAGCGAGATTCAGGAACAACTGAAAATGCAATATGAATGTGAGACTTCTTATGCAACTGTAAGTGAACTTGAAGCGCAGATAGTGAGTTTGGAGAATGAGCTGAAGAATCAATCTAAAGAATTCTCCGATTCATTGGCTACTATAAGTGAGCTTGAAGCTCAAGTCAGTAACCTGGAGCAAGAACTAGAACAGCAAGCTCAAGGATTTGAAGCTGATCTCGATACCCTTAGTCGTGATAAAATCGAACAAGAGAAGAGAGCAATAAGAGCTGAAGAAGCCTTGAGGAAGACAAGACGGCAAAATGTTATTACAGCAGAGCGGCTTCAGGAGGAACTTAAAGGGCTATCCATGCAAATGGAATGCTCACTCAAAGCGAGTGAAAAGTTGGCTACTAAAGCTTTAAACGAAGCTAATGAGCTCCGCCTACAGAAATTGCAACTGGAAAAGATGCTTCAAAAATCATCCGAGGAGCTCCAATCAATCAAAGCGCATTACGAAGCAAAGGTGTTTGAGCTTTCTAGTCAAGTAACTAATATGTCGGATCAAACGGAAAAGTTGCAGTCGGAAATTGAAGAAAAATCCGTGCGCCTAGAAAAACAAGAAGAGCTGGCTAAAGAAACTGAGCAGCACCTGTCACAGAAAATCATCTCTCTTAAAGCGGAGATTGAAAATCTATTGACAGAAAAGATTATCCTTTCTCAGCATGAAGAACATAAGAACACTCTGGCGAATGAGTTGGAAAAAACGAGGAAATCGATTGAGGACATGCAATTGGTTATAGAGCAAGGTCACAGTGAAAGAAGAGAACTGGAAACTAGGCTAGCTTCAGTGGAAAAAGAAGCTCTAGAGACTGCGACGGAATTAAACACTACGAGGTCTCTTATGGATGAGAAGGACACATTAACTGCAGAACTGCATTTCGAAGTGGATATCCTTATATCTGAATGCAAAGAAATGAAGAGCTCTTTGTTTGAGAATGAATTGGAGAAAGAAATTTTGAGAAAGCAGGTATCCGAGTTAAAAGATGATCTGATAGAGAAAGAGAATGCATTGAATAGTTTGGACGAAAAGCTCGAAGATGCAAATGATCAAGTTGCAAGTCTAAAAGAGATAATAAAGTTACTTGAGGTAATATTCACCTTTATTTGATCTACCTAAATGTAGTTGTAAATCGTAGTGAGTGTGATCAATCTTAGTTTTTGTTCCATCATCACAGGGTCAGATCAAGCTGAAGGAAAATGCACTTGATAACTTAACGAATTCATTTACGGAGGAGGAGAAAGACCTTCAAGACAAAATCGAAGAATTAGAAAGAAGGTTAGAAGAACTCCGGCATAGCACGGAAAGGCTCCGCGAACAAAAGTCCGAACAGGTTAACAGCAAAAACTTATCTTCTAAATTAGAGTTAGCACAAAAACTTCTTAATTCCATTTTTTTAATATCAGACATAAGACAGTTTGCCTTATTTGAAGACTTAATTATGCGAGGAGAAGAGAAATAGACTAAGTATCGCCAATAATATGATTTTAAGGCTGTTTGACTCTTACTCTCTCTCTCTCTCTTCCACTTTATATGGCATTCTTTTCTTTTTAATCTGTTCTAAAAAGAATGAAACCTTGCTATATGTGATAACTCTTTAACGTTTAACTTTCTAATATACCCTTATTGACATGTTCTTGTAACCATAAAAATGTCATGACATGTATAAGACCACAAGTTCTAAGAATACTTTTTGTATGTGCTAAAAGTCGGTCCTTCTGTCTTAAACTCTATGCCTAGTCAAACACCGGCATATAAAATGAAAGGGAAGGAGTATTACTTAAGAGTATCTGAAAGATGATACTTTGGTACAGGAGGCTGCGGAAGATCTAAATCTTGCGACTATAACATGCACAGAAGATCAAAATCCCTGTCGAACATTGTCTACAGAGAGGTATGTCCCGTGTTCAAGATTGATCCTTAACTTTTGACAAAGATGAATTTATATTCTTAAAACTATTTTGTATCACTATCGAGTCCACTTGAACATGTATAACTTAACCCAATTTGAGGGGCGGTTTTCTTTAGCTAGACATACATTTTCACAAATAAACTGAGTCCAACACTAATTATTGTAGATGCCTCTTCACAATAATAATCTTCTCTTCGACATTTCTAATTGACAATGTGCATATAATTAAATGCTGCAGCAACATCTGTTTGTCGGACAAGGAAATGGAAAACGCAGCATCTAATACTGGAAATCTTGATGAACTATCAAAAGAAATGGAGCTATTGAGGGAGAGGAACAAGTTAATGGAAGTTGAACTGAAGGAAATGCAAGGGAGATATTCAGAATTAAGCCTCAAATTTGCAGAGGTTGAAGGAGAAAGACAGAAGCTTGTTATGAGAATGCGAAACATTAAGAGCGCGAAAAAGAGCTCATAAAACACTCCCATGCAAACCAGATACAAGTATAGGTAACAAAAATAAATGTAAATTAGTGAGGTAAGTCC